AAACAGCTACCAGGACCCCGCTGTTCAGAGCGTAACTAAGAGAAGGGCCCTGCGCCACCGCCACAGAGGGCGAGTCTTGGCCTGTGACAGCAGATCCTGCATTTGATGCTCTGCGACAGAAGCAGAGGGGTGAGCAAGCAGCCGCACGGCGTGCGCCGGCCCAGCCTGGCTCTGCCTTGACAGGAACGCGCACTCCACATTAAGCCCGCGTTACCCATGGCGCTTGGCGTTACATCCCCTACTTGTGTCTACTAAACCTTTTGCATCACTGCAAGATGAAGAATATCCAGCTGCTCTGCACCGCAGTTCTCCAGGGGATTCGAAACAGCCAGGACACTAGGAAAACAAGCTCAATAATGCTAACAAGGCAGTCTGGGGGCCAAGTAAGAGTCTGACACCTGGCTCCAAAACTATCTAAGTGCTGGCACAGTTTCACAATACTGAGACAAGCATTCTTGGTGAACACGTTCCAAGAGGTAGTAGAGAACAGACTTCAGTGAGAACTCTTGTTCATGCACTGATCTTTTCTAATTTTAAAAAATAACACCCACAAGCTAGAAAAAAAAAAATTAATCTAGAGAAAATTCTCAACATCTAAAAAAAAATGGTAATTTTGATCTGAACACAGTGAAGGGATGAGAAAAGAATTAATTCAAAACTGCCTTCTAAAAGCATCAATTCATGTTTCAAAAGGTAAAGTTACTTCAGGCTGAAATATTCCAGATAAGGTTCTTATAATAGGGAATTCATGCAAGTTTTAAGTTGTTCTCATTTTCTTTTTACGAGGATGAAACTATCCAAGCTTTCCAAGCTCCACACTTCACTCTACAAACACACCTCAATAGGAGGATGGGTTGTAATATGACCAGAGATCAACTAATTTTAGTTTCCTAACCTCTGAGTGATAGTTGAAAAAGGTTGTTGTTTCATATAATTATTTCATTAGGGTTTTTTAAAAAGAACTTTTCATCAAAATTTTGCTTTTTTTCAGGTGCTTAGCTTCAACCTTTAAATTGCCGTAAGTATTTGCGAAGGAAACCCAAAATGCTCAAAGCCCTACCATTCGTCTTCCCTACTAGAAGACAAATTCAGACAGCATGTTCAGCTCTGCACTCAGCTGTATCAAGGAAGTCTTCTATTGGACTTGAAGTGATACATGTGAAAAAGACTGTGGTTCCTTATGGCCTGGCCTTGGTAAACCCCTTTGTTTCTTGCCTGTCCAAGAAAACAGTATTTTGTTCTGTCTGCTGAGGGAGATTAGTTTCTTAACCCTTCTGTGCATGTTGAAAACATTATTCCTTGATAAGCACAATACCAATGCTTATGAAACCCATACTGACGATCATTTCCAACAGCAATGTTACTTTATGCTTTAAAACTTACGTGATCTACACAACTGTACTTTTCTACCCAGGATGAACATTCAATTGCAAAATTCAACATAAACGGTCTTTCATCCCTGCCTGAATAAAAACTGATCACATAAAAGGCATCTTTTAAAGATTCTGGTCACAAAGTAGTGGTTTTATAGTCAGTATACGACTGGGGACAACTGTTCTCAGAGGCTCAGAGGAAGGAGAATATCTGAATTTCTGGCTTTTCACTTCTATCTGACTTCTACTCAAGGCCAGACACATTTTGCAGATACATTATTCCTGACACCAGTTCATGGAAAGCCACTTTCACTGAAATGCCATCATCAAACAACTGAAACTGAAGGACCAAACACTGTACCAGTATAAGCACCCTGTGTTTTAGTATAACCATGAGAAAAATATGCTGCACATAGGATTAATACCTGTAAGATTTCACAAAAATTGTTTTCTAGATTTTTGTGGCAAAATATGTGCATCTGCAAAACATACACACATATAATTGCTTATTTATGTTTGTTACTGTCAATTAGTATTAGATTCATAATTATAAATTTAAGTAGACAGCTCAATAAAATGATTACACACTTTTTTATTAAAAAATTATCTTCACAATAAAATAGCTTTCTTTGAAAGCACATAACTAGCTCCACTCCTCTGTATAAGCATCTCTCCTTTAATTGAGAGCAGAGACTGAGGCAGCTACAGAGCGGTAAAACACCTCCCCCCCCCCCCCCCCCCCCCTTTTCTTTTTTTACCTAACGGAGCAATTGATCATGTATGCAAATGGCATCTCCTCTAGAGCACGCCTTATCTTAGGCTACAGTATAATTTCTAACCCATCAAATACATTAAGGTCATTACCTTTTCCCAGTTGAAATGAAAAGTAACATCCCTGCTAAATTCAACAGGGGCTGGATTAGTTGTGAAAACCTATGGCACACTAGATTAAGACCAATACTCCAGTCAAAGTGGGGAAAGAGATCTTAGCTATGAATGCCATCCCAAGAAGATAATAAAACAAAACTAAGACGACAAGCCAATATTACAGGGAAGTAGTACTAAACATTTGGGAAAGAGATTTAACGGGTCAGATAAATCAGAAAAAAGAGTCCAAAACTACAATGCCCACTCCTGAGTGTATTACCTTAAAGTAATTCTTCTTATACAATACTTTATAGTCTTCACATTGTGAGCATTACTGCAAAGTATCCAGGCATCATCAAAAATGAGTTAAAAACACTTTAAAAGCCATTGCCTGGGAAGCATCTGATCTAGAACTATGACTTTATTCTGAGCTGTCTCACAGCAGGGTTAATTGTGCGTAATATGTACATTCAGCACAAAACCAGCAGTAAGACTAATGAGTAATAAACCCTGACAGTATTAATCCACATTTCTAGTGCCTGTGAAAGCCAGGAAACAGACGACCAAATAAAAGCTTTCAAAGAAAAGTAAGACTGAAACTTGTATCGACACTTCAGTGACACAGTCAAAACGAAAGAAACTGTGGCTCTACCAAAGTTAACTTTTGAGCTTCACTGACTTCAGGCAGACCCATGATATTATTCCCAGAATGGTCACTAGAGATGCTGGTCAGTGAGAGAAGATCAGAAAGAAAAAGAAATCAGAAGTCCCTCTTCCAGACACCTCCCAAACAACTTGTAAGCCCAGATACAAAACAATGTGTGACCGTTCACCTGCATCTCTTCCCTCAGACTTGAAAGCTGTAATTTCACACTGTGCAATTATTTCTCCTTAAGAATGTTATTATAATAAATTAATATACTGAAGTGATGTTTATTAGAAACAGAATCTTAATGAAGGGATAGAAGTGGGAGCAGAGAACTCCTTACAAGCACCAAAGTTTTAGTAATTCCTTACCTCTTCTCTTAACAATGCAACGGTAGTGATTTAGCCAGCAAGGAACATTGCATAGCAGTAGCATATCCCATTTGTCTTTATTTGATACATATACATGTAGAAAGACCATTTCAGTAATGAGTCTGTATTTCTTGTTGATCAAGTAAGGGGCATTTATTTTATGGTTTTCTGCAAATATGATTTGCACCACCCTTGACGCTCTTTCAACTTTGCCATACAATGTCTATTTTACTGCTCCTGCCACAAATCCAGATGGCTGCAGATGTGCAGCTGGCAACACTATGTTATCTGACCCTGTTTAGGAGTTTACACAATGCAGTGCTTGAATTAAGAGGAAGTCCCAAGTGCTCTCATTAGCACAGCAGCCAATGAGCTGAAACAGGAGCAGCAAGAGTGGGAAATTTTAGCAAAAAATTCCTAGTACAGGAAATGCCCACAAGACAGAGGGGAGATTGTATACTTCGCTGTGAAGACAGCAGAGCATAAAAACAGCTCTTTTAGGCATGCAATGGTATTCTGAAAACTAATTGCAAAGTCTATAGGCCAAAGTAAGTCCAGCTACTCTTCTTCAATATGTGTCTGTGTCTCCTTCCACTCATAAAATAAGGCATAATGGTTTACCTTAATAAGGATCACCTCCTTTGTATAGAACTGTAAAATAATAGTAAATATGTTGCTGGCTTTATATCAAATATCTTCAAAAAAGCTCAAGTGGCGAAAGAAGTGTTTTAACGATGAATGAGTCTATTTAAGAATTTTAGATCTTGTGAAGCTTTGACACTGGTTGTCTTCAAGGCAGACTTTATAAGAGCTGTCATTTAGTCTTCTTTGTGAAGACAGTAAGGAGTGTTAGATAAATACGTAATTGTTATGTAAATGTATGAACATATATTGTGTTTTTAATCAGTGTTGAATGTAATCTCTCATTATTTGAACAACTTCAGTTATTACTAGAAAGAGAAGTTTGAAGTATGCTGTGTCAAAAGGCACTTTCCCACATATGATAACCTTTTTAGGTATTCTGGTGTGGTGAACTAATTCTTTCAGGCACTACTTTTTTTGCCATTGGCATTCAAGCTTAAAAACACATGTGAACTAAACTATGGATACAAATCAGCCATGTAAACATGACTATTTTTTGGCAGCTCATTGTGCATACACACTCACATAAGAAATACATTGAGTTTTTTAAAGAAATAGTCTCTGCTCTATGATTTCCTTATAATTCTAATCACACAATCACAATTCATAAAGAAAAGTAGTATTGTGTAAAACTGCAATATTGGCACTTAAAATGAATGTGGTTCCATAAAAAGATTCTATCAGCAGCCCACTCATTCACATACATACACTATTCCATCTCAGAAAAGGCTTGCTATTTCAAGTGGCATTGAAGCATGTGATTAAACCCCATCAATACCAAGACAATTAATTAACAAGTAGTACGTACCTATTTAGCTCTTGTATAATTTTTTTCATGTACAAATCTCCTAGTGCTTTACAGAGAAGCCTAGTTTCACAATTACCACTTGACAGCTACGCAGTAAGGACTAAATGTACATCCTGCTTGCGTGGCCTGATCCCTTTATCAAGGCAAAGCCTAAGAGAGCTCACAACCCAGCTCTGTACATTCATTCTGCCAGCTGCAGATGTCCATGAGCTACTTACATGCCCCAAGGTCAGTCTGCCTACAAATCTCATGTGCCTTTGCTAAATGCTCTGGAAAGAGTCCCCGTGACTGACTGAAGCACTGTCTTCAGTCAAGCGCAAGCACTTGGCAAAGAGGGCAAAGAGGATGATCGTAACAGCCAGACTGTCCTCACCACCATTCACATGAGCATCCTTGTGGCCTACAGAGGTACAACAGAGCACAAGCTCCTCAGTCCTCCCGGGGGCCTCTCGGATCCTTAAACCCATGTCTGTGCAGTTTCAATGCTCGATGGCAGCAGCCTCAAGCCTGGCCTCCTGGCACAGCCCAGATACACCCCAACAGGTCCAAGGACACCCCCCATGGGAACAGGAGAGGCAGAAACTGAGCAGTGGAGAGGGTCTGGACACCAAGCTCAATCTACATAAGTATGATCAAAATGCTATTAAGTATGCACTGAAACTTGGGCATGTCCATATGTTGTTCCGCATAGAGATGAACTTAGGCACTGAGCCATGCACTTCTGCAAATGGGGAGGTCAGACCAGACATCAGACAGGAGCAGTTTGACTGTATGAAGTCCCCACTTGTCAGCAGAGCCATGTTATGGACAGTCTGTGCACCCACTCTGTAAAATCCAAAAAGATAACATGTATTGGCCTAAGTCTTAATTAAAGCAGGTCAAGCTCAGATACTTCACCTCGTGCTCCTCATAGGCTGCACACAGTTGGTTACTACAGCTCAGCTGACCTGTGATTAACAAATCATTACGCAGAATTAATTCAGTCATGTGGACAGGTCACAGAAATCTCTATTACTACCCAAAATAGCTATACTGGGAAGCTGAGTTTCAATTACTGATTCTAATACTTAATACTTGATTTATAAAGTCACAAACCACAAATTGACTGAAAGAAGTCCTCATAATATTATTCAGAGTTTAAATGACACCCCCCCCCAAAAAGCATGACTCAGATCCCTTTTAGAGACAGCATGAAACCTACCAGCCTAAAACAATGGGTGTTCGAAATGTTATGTAGAGAAAGAAAAAAGAACCAGAACAGCATGATACAGTTGGGCTAACTTCTGTTCTTGATAGTCTGTTGGGATTTTTTGTTTTGTTTTATTATTTAGAAAACAAAAAAAACTCTAGTTTAGGAGTTACTGCCTTCATACATACTCCTTAACTCTACATGAGTGACAGGCAAGAAGTAATAACTAGAGAAGGAAAAATAATACTTGTAAAGAAGAAAGCCCTTAAAACATAGCAGTATTGCATTTATAATTGGTTGTACATTAATAAGTATATAAGGTTAATGATTTTTTCATATAAATATATAATGTATAATAATTATACAATGTATAATTAGGATATGTTTATACAATATTAGAGGTAACAGCATATGTTGTCCAGAATGGTAAGCAGAAGTGGAATCCACAACCTACTGATTTTTCACCCAGTATAACCAGAGGGGCTTTTTTTATGGTGTCTCATACCTCAGGAAATGGCAACCAGGACTGAGAATCAATTTTGAAGCAGTACTGAACAATTTATTACATTAGTAGATAAAAAACCTTAATATATACAGAATTTTTTCTGCTGCAGATTTCTTAGTGCTTTACATTAAAAATACATATATTCCCACCAGCAGGTGAATAGAAGTGATCTTAGCAAAGCCAGGTTGCTGATCAGCAAGCGCTATAACTTTTCTTTCCTAGTCCCTCTCCAATACCATGTTCACTGTACTATGTGTGAATAAGGACTAGCATGTTTACAATGCATATTCCTCATTAAAACAGCATGTCACATGTACATGTTTTCTGAGTGCTGAAGATGTGGTATATCCACCTCAGCTACGCTTTTTATTTGCAATCTATGAGGTAACACACTTCAGCTAAATAAGAACCATTTATGATGAAAGTTGGGCCATCACTTCAATGTATCTGAGACATGCTGCAAGAACACTGTAAAGCTTTTTAAACATCACACTGCTTTTAAGGCTGAAAAGCTACTTACAATTCTGCTTTGGGTGTCATTTATAACTTATCATATGGACACCCATCTCCTCAGTCCTGGATGATGTACAATGAGCAAGAATTGTTTGGTTGAGACACTGATTATTACTTCAAGCCTACTATTTTAGGTTACAAACAATGCATACAAATTCCCTAATCACACAGGATTAGTTGGATTAACAATTTCTCACTTAAACATAAGTGCATCGTTTATAGGACAAGCAGGCATTCAGCTGTTGCAAACAGAACCCTGCCCGCCTTGTTCACATCTGCTAGCCACTTTACTTCCAGAGAGCCCATCAAGGGATGGAGCATATGGCCTCGATACTGTTAGTGTTTGTAAATAGCATGTATAGTAAGCACAGCAGAAATTACACATTCAATTGGAAGTACAAACGTAACTTCTGCACGCACTGTTCATGTAAGCCATCACAGCACAAGAGGAAGACTGACAGATAAAGAAGAATCCCCAAGAAAACCCACAATGGTTCTGAATCTTTTTTTGTTTCTCCTGGTTACAGCTCTGTTGGATTAGTGGTTTTATGCTGGGATAAAAACAGCATCAGACTATCAAACCATGTATTTGTCTTGCTATGTGTCCCAATAGGCCAATACTGACATCTGTTACACAAAGTTACTGCAGATCTTAACAGTGTGATTTATTTTTTATTCCTAAGTAAAGTTGCAGTGCAATTATCCCTTCACAAAGGAACAGCATGACATAAATTGTCCCTTAGCTTTAACATCTCCTGCTGGCATTCCCCCCTTCCAAAAAAGTGGCTTTCTGAAGTCCCCAGCATTTGCACATTAAAAAAAAAAAAAAAAGCAGTGAGTTTTACATGTCTTTTTTCTATCCCCCTCCACCAAATGTGAAAATGGAAGAAGAAAACTACCAAGGAAAAGAAGTTGCAGCTGTGCACAAGAGGTTGAAACAGAACTGTGAAGACAGAGACCAAACAGGCCCTTCACGAACAACATGATCACAGAGTAAACGAAGTATTCTGGCAATTCCTTCTTCATGTAAAGTCTTTAATAGCTGTCAAGCATGCCAACAAGAAAAGGACACATAAGTAAGCTTTATCTAATCAAAGATATTCCAGAATTATTGAAATAGGTCATATATCAAAAAGCTAAAGGGAGTTTATCATATAAGTAAAACTATTTCCATTTGGTTTCAGAGGCTGTTTAGTCTACCCAATTCATACAAGTCTGTATGTACAATTCTAATCTTGTGTTGCATTACCATTGTAATGGCCTAAAATAGATGGAAGAAACATTTGTGAAGATAGTACTTTTTTCAGAGCAAGGTGAGGAATGAAAAGCATCTGGAGTTCTCAGGTATGAGGTAAATTTACAGATTCCTGACACAGCAAATTCACAGAGGACATTTCCAGAAATATTTCTTCTTTTTCAGAGCTTTAATTCTAAACTGTATTTTTCCTAAACTTATAACAAACAGAAAAATATTGTTGTATGTCCCAGAAATGGATCACAATCCAGCACCCTTTTTCATGTACTAATTTTCTAAGTTATCTCAGAGTAGAATAGTTTCAGTGAACTACAAGTTAACTAAAAGCTACTCTGACAAGAGCATTTTGAAAACTCAGCCTGATAAAATCCGGTCAGCCCCTGATGCCACAGCACATGGAATCATAGGTGCCAGAAGGAAAACAGGGCCTAGCAGGTTCACAAGGAAGAATGAGATAGGAGCATGCCCAATCACATCAGCTAGATCTATGTGGTGGAAACAAGCGGTGCACCTCCTTCAGGTCTCTGCATAGCCTTCAACTACTCTTGAGCTGCTCAGACCTGGAACTCTTAAGAGATCAGCAAAGACACTGAAGAAGAGAGAGAGAATTATGAAATCTGTGCTGATCCTTCAAAAGGATCAGTCGTCTTTGCCAAGTTTCAAAAATTCCTTCCTCAAATGATCAGAAAGGAGAAAGTTACTGACTAAAGCTAAGCTGAAGGCAGAATGCCTGATTTTTTACATCCATTCCTTGTTTGGGACATGCCAATTTAAAGATTCATTCAGACTACTAAAAAAAACAAAACAATACTTCACGTCTGAATGGCAGATATTTTTTCAACTATGATAATAAGAGGATTATCCTAAAACAAATTAGTCTTTAATTGGTTTACAGAGAAAATATAAATATGCTAGGAATTCATCTAGGCAAATAGAACAGTGTATATTTTATGAGTAAGTACTGTAATCATCTGCTTGTTACTTGGAAATAAGAACAAACAACATTTGCATAATAAAACTGTTTACACATCTTAATGAAAGTGTGTCATTATCTCCTCCTGGCTTTTATACAACAGTCAACGTACATCTTGGGTCCAATACATTTCAGTTTTACACCAGTTATTGCTTAAACAGCTTTGACATTTTAAGTAATCCATATTAGTATGTAGACTCATTAAAAGAATCCTTAAGTGCAGTTAATAGTATTTTAGAGAGGTCAAAATTATTTAAGATCTACCAGAAAGAAATAATGCAGAACCAATCACTCTACATATTCTGAAAACATGAGAAACTAGCCTCACAGTTCTACAAATCACTTCTACCGGAATCTAAAGGATTAGACTGACGTATATTTCCCAAGCTAGATCTGTCATAACAAGTCTAAAAAAGCAACCAGCCCACTGAGCAAGAACTGGCACTTTGGGAAATGGCTTAAATAGTACTGAGCTCTCAACTAGCACTTTTATGCTTATTACATCACTGAATAGACTCAAATCAAAAGCCTATTTCTTGTCATCTTCACACTTGACTTGGAGATATAAATTAAAAAAAAAAAAAAGAAAAAGCAGATTGAGAATTCCTCAGTATACCAGAGATTTCTGGATACTAGTGCTATGTGCAGTAAAAGGATGGGAGCCCAGAGCCAGCAGTACTCTTTCAACCCTGAACCACAAAGACAAATGGGAGGAAGGGAGCCCACAGGGACACTGCCTCTGAAGGAGTCTCATTCTTCCATCACAGAATCTCATACTCAGGGCTTTTACATTCTTCTGATTGAAATTTCAAACTCATCTACATTTTGTAGAACATTTTACTGTTACTCTGCCTGATACTCCTTATGCAAACACATCTACTCACTCAAGGCATTACTTTACCTGTGCCTAAAGGTATGACTTAGGATACCTTCCACAACTAATAGTCTAACATTGGAATGGACCATATATTTTGTTATATGTTAAGATGCAGTTGTCTTCAGCCAAAACAAACCAAAACATTTGGGCCCTCA